GATAAGTCACCACTAGACTACATGGAGATTCAATTTACATAAACAAAGTGTTTAAGATTTTATACTTTTGTCTTAAAATTGGTCTGTGTAGGACGAATTCCTCTAAAATTTTACTAATTTGTCCTATTAAATATATATTTAATAAACAATTGAGAAAAATTCAAATATGGAAAAATATTTAATTTAGGGATTTTTCAACTTCAAATTTTTTTTGTCTCTGAAAAATCACATCTTCCTCCCTCTTTCTCTCTCTTTCATTGGATGAAACTCTAATCTCGCTCTTACTTTCCCACCAAAACTTGTCGTCTCCTTCCTCCCTCCTCCGGTGAGAATAAGGAGTGGCACAACACCTACGAATTGGACGAAATCTTTGATCACTACCTCCACAGTGATAAGTTATAATCTAATATAAATAGGTATATGCATTATATTCATTAGATCCCTAATAATAGTTGATTTCAAAAGTACATAGTATATACGTTATAACCTATAATAAGTATGTAATATACACCATCAACATAAAATGAAACTAATGAAAAAAACAAGAACATAATTGATTGGCATAATAAAAAACATATATATAGATAGATAAACTAAAATTAAAATATTATACATATAACAAATTATTATATATATTTAATAATAATACATGCTATTCAAGTTATAACTTAGTATAAAGAGGCATAGAAATGAAAGCCGCGAGAACCAGTTCTCTTGAAAACAAATTCTTTGGAAGCATTGAAGGCTTCAATCAAAATCTTACTGAAATGGTTTGGTCTGTTGATGAAATTCGTAGCAGAAGAGAGGATTTGCAACTGATTTCAGTCAACCACATAAGACGTGATGGAAATTGTGTTGCCCATGGTATTGCCCATCAAGCTATGAAGGAAAATTTGGTTTGTAATCTTTAATTCTAAAAAAAAAAAAAAAATTAAANCACAATATCTTCATCATACCACTAATAATACTTGATTTCAAAAATACAGATAGCATATCTGTTATAACTTATAATAAGTATGTATATACAATATTAACATAAAATGAAATTAATGAAAAAAAATATGGACAGAATTGATTGTCAATAATAAGAAATATATAAACTATATCTTAAAAATAAAATATTCAGTTGGTTTATATATATAAAAATAAAAATAAAAATATATAAACCACAATCTGATCGATTTCGGTTGGTTTATATTGCAGTTCGGCCGGTGTCAGTTTGAGAATTTTAAAACTAATCGGTCGGTTGATGGTTCAAAAATAAGAAACCGGACCGACCGACTTTCCTATCTTCTCTCCATCCATCATAATCCACGGCTGGATGTGATTTTGTTTCATCCCAGTGTAATTATTCATTCAAGGTGGTTTAATAAAAACCAACGGTTGCACATGGTTTTCTTGAAACCACCCATATTTTTTTATTGTTGTTTGTCTCTGTCCAACATTTTCTGTATATTTCTTTTTTTTCTAATAGACCGGTTTTATTTCTCCCTAAATTAATATTTTTCCTAACTTTTTTATCTCGAAAATTTCATGTTTTATAACTTTTCTGTCTCTCTATAATCTATTTTTTCTTCTAAAAATTATATTTTATTTTCCCGTTCAATTTTCTTTCACTGTAACTTTTATTTATCTTTGTTTTTATTTATTTTATATAAAAATTATATTTTAAATCTTGTTGTTATCTGTTTCCACCATAATTTTTTTCTTTCTTTGTAATTTCTTTTTTTTTCTTTAATATATCTGTTTATGCAAGGATATGCACAACAGTGTATTTCAGATTGCAGCTCGAACTCGGCCTCCAGACCGATCTGAATACTTGGGCGGACCTGCACAAAAAGGTGAGCACTCCGACGATCAAGTCAGTATAGGTCGAATTCCCAGTTTAGTTCGAGGTCAGAAAATCATCGTACCTGATCGTGGAGTGAGGTCCTCTACTTATGGGTGGTAGTCCTGCTAATCTCCCGACGGTTACACCCGGTAATCTCGGGACCGTCGGTTACACCCGGTAATCTCGGGACCGTCGGTTACACCCGGTAATCTCGGGACCGACGGTTACACCCGATAATCACGCCGCTGACAGTAGCTCACATCGGCCCCCACCGAGCTTCCCGGTAGATCGGACCTCGGCCAGGTTCACCTCGGCCCTCATACTTAGCATCTGTCAACGCTAGTGGTGGTGATCTCGGCGGTCCGAGCTGGGCATGACTCATGAGTCATCTTGGAGCACCAATAGGGGTCCTCCACGTGTCCAGGGTATTCTCTTCCCCAAACAATATCTTTTCCTCTCGACTTTATTTTTTTCTCCAAAATTTTTCTCTTTTTGTCTTTAACTTTTCTCAACCTATTTTTTTCCTAGATGTTTTTATATATCTCTCTAAAATTTATCTTCCAAAAGTTTATTTACATATATATTTTACTGTTTCTACAGGGGAAGACAAAGATTTCTGTAGGTCCCAAAAATAGAAAATGCATGTCCCCGTCCCCGCTCTCGATTCCATTTTTTAAATAATTAAAAAAAATTATAAAACTGATAATTTTTCTCGAGAACATCTTTCGGACCCAAGAACGAGGTGGAGACGGAGACTAAAAATTTTCATGAGCCCGATAATGGGGGAGAGCATCTTCACTCACACCCACATCATCTCTACTCCACATAAAATTTTTTCCCTCTAATATGTATTTTCAATGTTTTAACTTTTTAAAAACTAAAAACTAAAAATGGTTACCAAACATGTTTTGGTTTTTTGTTTTTTAAAAACAATAAACAAAAAATAGTTATCAAACATATATGGTTTTTGTTTTTTAAAAACGGAAAATCAAAAACCAAAAACTAAAATGGTTATCAAACAGGCCCTAAGTAATCCTCTCTCGGGAGCACACTTACCCAATAACCAATAAATTTCATTTTAAACTTAATTTTTGTATTAAAAAATCTTTTTAATCTTAAATTAAAATTACAACTAATCATTAGTAGGAAAACACATTACACAAATAAGTGTTATTAAAAACGTTAATTTATTATATCAATGAATTTCTACGATTTAAAATAATTATTTTAATAAATAATTAAATATCTCAAAAAATAAATAACTCGAAATAATAATTAAGTTAGTAAAAGAACAAAAAATATATATATATATGTATTTTTTTTTTTCAACGCGCGTTGTCGTGGTACTGAACTCGTTCTATGAATGCTTCATCTGAAACTTTTTTTTTTCTTCCGATAAAAACGTTAAAACTATTTTCCCTCAAAAAGAAAAAAAAAACATTAAAAATATTGCAAACATGTGAAACACGTTGTATTCTTACACTGCTCAAAATTTCAATGAATATTAATAAAGTAATATATGTTTGACGTACTTTATTGCAAATTAATAAAATAACATAATAAATTATAATTGGAATATAATATGACGCACCACTTTATCTTATTTGAATATATAATGTATCAGAAAAAATATTCTTTTCCCTCAAAACTTCATAAGTGTATCAAATTTAGGAATTTTTTTTTTAATAATGCTAATTCTGAAGCTTATTCCCACATATATGCCACATCCCAAATTATTGTTAGAATCAYAGGAGAAATGAGATGAAAAGATAGTTGTTGTGCTGTGAGCAATTTCGGCATGACCACGATATTAAATCATGTGTACGCCGTTGCTTTCCAAGGTTAACACAATACYCAATTCGRACATGTTGACGCAGTGGCCGAAGGTTTGGGTGTCAGGCTCAAGATCCAGATCCAAATCATATTCTGTCAACGACTATTTGTAAGAATAATGGACACAGTGGGCATCTTTTCAAATTATTAAATAAAACCAATCTTTCCCGCATGTGAAGTTAATTCAGTTATGATTGAAAAAGGACTATTATCTTTTGCACTTTCAGAAAAGTCAGTGCATAGTTCGCCAGCTTCCTTTTTTTTCCTTTCCTTTTCCGGCTTTCATCCAAATCTGAAAAGTGAATTTTTTTGGAATAGGAAAAAAGGCGCCAACAAAGAGGACGAGGGCTAATCCACCGATACACTCCCAAACTTGTAAACAATAAAAGAATCATTAGTAGTATAAGTAAACAAAGAGAGAGTTAAATTGTAAAATAACGAATTACATAATTATTTTCCTGCTAAATTTGGAAGAATTGTTTTGGGTATGTGTTCAAATTGTTCTCTAGAATTGCCATTGGTGGCTTTTTTTTTATAGTACAATATGGGACTATTTAAACCATCCTTGAAAAGAACGTTAATTATTTGTTAAAAAAAAACAAATTATCCATAATAACAAACTAAAAAAGGAGATAAAAAATAACCTTAAAAAATTTAGCTTACCAAGTGGCTAATGAGTAAAGCTTTTTATATATTCTTTTTCTTCTTTGTATTTTATTATTTATTATTTTTTTGCAAAGTAAAAAATATATTATAAATGGTAGGAGGGCATGCATMCTTATTAACCCCTACAAAATGCTAGTGTATGATTTAGGTCTTAGTTCTGCGTGATTTCACTTTTGATTTCACCAAACATACCAAGAACGATATTGTAATTTACTTATATTTGATTTCACCAAACATACCAAGAACGATATTGTAATTTACTTATATTTTATGGATCTTTCTCTCCTCTATTCAACATGAACTATGTTTGCCTTTTCAACAATTGAACGTATAGATAAATCATTCTCCAAGTTATCAAATACATTGCATATCGACCCTTTTGCTCTCCAAAGCTGGAGAATTGGCTTTGTCATCAGCTCTAGAACCTGAACCCGGGCTTCACTCTACTATATCCTTATCGTGAGCAAATGAAGGAACCAAAAAAATCAAATATAACAGGAAGTAGTAGAGACTTGCCTTGACGATCGTGGCAACGACAACGAAAGTGCAAATAGATGGTGATCACAGCAACTGTTTTGTGCCACCATAAGTTTCATCATCCAGCTGATTGCCCCAAAGTATTTGGTTCTGATGAAGTGAACACAAATAAATAGAATCGTAAATCAACCTCTAACTCATAATGAACAACCTGGATTCAATTGATGAACAATAGAACAAGTAGTAGAAGAAGAAAGGGCAGATACAACTTCATGAACATGAAGATTCTTGCAGTCCTAATTCTGGCCATACTCAGACAATTTTGATTCCAAAGCCATCCCAGACGTGTGAATGCCAGTTAATATACACAAAGGAATTAATAATGAACATACAGAATAAAGAGATCATACAGATCAAACAATCCTCCAGCAAATAACATAGCTCATTATTGGTGATGATACTCAGGGTTAAATGCAAGTGCCTCTCGATAGATCAGCTCTTTCATCTGGTCCTCCGTAAGTGCGTGCTGCTCAAAATCAAAGCTGAAGGGCGTCATGCACACGGGCTCATCACTAATGTCATGYAATGAAGTCAAATAAGGATGAGCTAGAGCATCTTCAACTGCAAAAACGTAGGTAGATGTTAATAAAATCCACAAATAAGATTGACTATTTAAGTTCTTCGACTCCTTACAACACAAAAGTACACAGGTCCGGTTCAAGTAAGGTCATAATAAGAATGATTCAAAGAATCAAATATTGGCATATCTACCACAATCCAGAGAAAGGTCACAGTCTACATGATGTCCTAATGTTTGAATATAGAAAGATAAATCTTGCATGTAAAGTTGGCTCATTTTGAAAACAGTGAGATGCATTTAATATTTGCCAACCGATCAGGCAACAAAAAAGAAACCCGCATACACTAAAATGTTCCAAGAAAAAGAATGAACTAACAGAAAAATGGCCGTCTACATAGTTCAGAAGTCGGACAATTGAAACACCTGAATGAGGAAATCAACTAGTACGTGTAGAAACAGGTTTGGGTTTGGCCTGTATCCTAATTAGGATTTGCATCTAATTGAGGAGATGGATAAATTAGCAATGCCCTATTATCAGACTACAGGATAGGATACAGCATCTGGATTTTGTGAGACCTTTTTACTTAAAAGACGATAAAGTCCCGGTTGATTTGATCTCGATGGTTTTTTTTAGGGAAAAGAAACTCCTCTATTTTTATCAAATTTTATAAAGCCATTTTGCAGGAATGTAACAAGATTGCTATGCAAACAATTGCAACAGTAAATCTCACCGGTAATTCTCCGTCCTGGATCGAATGTTAGCATCTTCTCCACCAGATCAATGGCTGCAGGATGGACATGTGGAAACTTTTCAGTGAATGACTGCCGTTGGTATATAGGAAGTTGCCGTATATATCTTTTAGCATTCTCGTTCAAGAAACCAAGATCAGCCTCTGATGGAGTGCCAATCAGCTGCATGATAGAATGGAGCAGACTAAAACAGTAAACATGTGAATAACAACAAGAATAAGAATTGTTTGTGAAGTACGGATATGTTTCATGTTAGTTGCTTCTGGGGGTATTTTACGTCTGAAACTATTCAGATGCACATACATATATCATATATGCATAATGAGGGTGAATATCAGCCACTTTTAATTTGATTTCTGTAACATGGACCAAAACAAAACCAAAGAGTCAGAACTGAACAGAACCTCTTCAGATTCAGTGTGGTCTGGTTCTGTTATGTACAAAATAAGTTTAGTTTTGGTTAGTTCAGCTCAGAAMAACTTTTAAATACACTCAAACAAAGCACATGGACGTTCTCTCTTTTCTATTTATATATTTCAATTTAATTAAAATGAACTTTATCAAACAACGGTGACAGATTATTTGCAACCATCAAACTTAGATGATTGCTTTTAAGAACCCAACCATAAAGAGTATCAAGAGTGACTATGAAATTACCTCCAAAAGCAAGCGTAACTGATGCACATGATCTCGACCAGGAAACAAGGGCTTCCGATCCATCAGTTCCATAAAAATACAACCAACAGACCAGACATCAATAGCTGCTGTGTAATCAGATGAGTTAAGTAATAGCTCTGGTGCACGGTACCATCTTGTAACCACATATTCTGTCATAAAGTCAGTTTCTGAAGTAACACGAGCAAGTCCAAAATCACATATTTTCAGGTCACAGTTGGCATTTAATAGCAGATTGGAGGGCTTCAAATCTCTGTGCAAAACATTTGCTGAATGTATGTACTTCAATCCACGAAGAATCTGGTACAGGAAGTACTGCATGATACATAAAGATAGTAATTATTTTGACGTACAGGATGTTCAACATGGTCGAACACTACTTTATTAGCATGGTTGGATTTGGTACGAAGGCAAAAAAAGCTACCTGCATTTTTTACACCAAGTTGTTTCTCACAATCCTCAAATTTTAAAATCTTGTTGTCTATCTAAAGCATCTAAACAGAATTCTTTTCACAATCAAAAGATTGACCAAGATCCAATACTTAGAACCATTAGAAGACAAAGAATTCAAGAATCTGAATTAAATCTAAGTCCTCTTCTTCCTCTCTCTCATAAAGAAATCTTGTAAAGTTTAGGTTTCAACATGTTCTTGGCATTCCACATAGACTGAATGGAAGGCTATTTCCCGTCAACAAGTTTGAACAATCTAGGATAAGCATTTAAAAAGGACACTCAAATCAAACTTCTTTCCAGAGTTTCACCAAACACTCACTTCCCGTTGAAAGCCTGGTTGTTTTCCAGCTTATTAGGAGGTAAAATACACCCTCTAAAGCCTGGTTGTTATGGCAGCCATACACTATTTGAAAAACATGACCTTTTCCGGAGTTCTAGTGCTCTCTGCCACCCYGTTTTCAAGGATAAAGGAAGAATATAAACGAGACTCATTAGGTGAAAATAGCCCCAAGACMTCCAGATTACACATCTTCCTACTATTTGTACCTCTCAGCCTATAGATCTTCAATTATTTGCATTAGAGTGCTCCATTCCCATAGCTCTTGATCCCTAACGGCTCTTCTAGAGTTGAAGCTTCTGCTAGGTCACAGTAGAAGAATATTTGAAAGAAATCTTCCAAATTTGTAATTTATTATTACCATTATGGTTGGCTTTGTAATTGATTATAATCTTCTTAGTCTAATCTAAACTTTGAATTTGAATACTCTCCAAGATTTACATTGCTTGTCAAAGTTTAATTTGAGCACCATCATMAAATATATCTGCCAGTGTTGAGATCAATTTCTTCAAGATCAACATCTGCCTAGCCACTAATTTATAAGTCCATCCTGATTAAAAGAACCAGTGCCAAGAGTTCCCAAGTCTCATTCTTTCACCCAAGATCAATGGAATAACACTTGGGCACATATTGAAAGAAGAACATCTGGTATCACAAGATTGTCACCAATTAATTTTGATCATAAATACCCGACCTAAATTTTCACTGAAATAGCTGATTAGAAGAAAGGAAGAATAAATGGCCACTTGCACCATAGAGATTTATTTAGATAAGTAAAAAGATGAGCAAAATAGGGCCTTGAACACAAAACAAAGACCCAAAGCCACCGAGGGGAAAACAGAAAAACAGGAAAGATTGTAAGAAGATACATGAGAAGAAAGATTATGGGAAGGTAAAGGAGAACGAGGTGTCCACCTAAAACCTTTGAGGCTATGATCAAGGGAGGGAAAAAAAACTCCCCAGATAGTAAAGAACAAAAAATGTAGGGACTTTCACCCAAGTACAAACTATCGACATAATGCAGTCTTTTCAACAGACCTCTAACCATCTTTGTGATAATCTCATCTGAAACAGGACCTATACCACCCTACCAGGGGTAGTCCATTTTGATGTTTTAAAGCTAGCCCAAGATTTTTACGAAGCACGGCATCAACATTGAACCAACAAAAAAGATTATCCGACATCAATCTTAGCCAACTAACTTACTTTAAAATGCTTCAGAAGATTTACTAAAATTAGTTGGAAGAACGTATAAGTTCCAAATGATCCAGAGGGCTGATATCGGAATGAATTTTAAAATGCAAAAGTAATCAATCAACAAGTACATGTACAGAATGTAACCTGACAATGCTCCTCTGATAATGCTTGGTTTGAACGAATTATTTGATGAAGGTCAGTATCCATTAGCTCATATGCTATATAAACATCATTAAACGTTGCCCTTTGAGGCGGAGGTATGATATCCCTAATTGCAACAACCTGAATCACCATCATCAACAATACAAGTTAACCAACATCTCAAAGACACTATAACTGCATCTCATTGGGGGCAATAGCATAATCAAACTAAAAACCACATGGAATTCCCTTAGACTAAAACATCATCTATATGGGTACAATAATTCAATTCAAAGGTACATAACTTTCACAAAATTATTGTGATAGTACAGAAACTACCACCTTATATATATATATATATATATATATATATATATATATATATAGAGAGAGAGAGAGAGAGAGAGAGAGAGAGAGAGAGAGAGAGAGAGTTGAGTGAAAAATAGAACAAAACAAAATCCAACGTAATAAACCTAGAGTACATTTTAAACATTTAAGAAATTATAATACAATGATTCAAGATCAGAGTAATATCATTCCATAATTAAGTACTTCCAAAATATGTCATGACATCCAAATTAAACCAATTGGTTCTTCTTTTGCCAACATGAGCATAGCTCAACCGTTATGACATTTTGTTCCTTTTTAAAGGTTAAAAATATATTGATGGCGTAGGACGTACGATTGCAAATTTCAGCTTTTTCATGTAATTTTAGAGTAATTGAGTTCACTAAAAGGGATCATTATATAGTAGGTTATATCTTAATTCTTATAAAAATATTTGCCCTAGTCTACACCCTAGTTTTATAGACAGGATAGCAACTGCTAAATGCAGGAGCAATTAATGCATTATAACTTCTTTTTTYTTTGTAATTTTTGGAATTTCAATATATCTGCGTATTAGATTTCCTACATATTAGATCATGTTAAGTAATTAGTTTCATTATTTGACAAATTGCTTAAGTAACCTTTGTGCTAGAAGTTTAAAAGCCTCTTGTATTATTTGTTTTTAAATCATAAATCCTTTAGAAAGGTCCACAGTTTCCCCTCAAATAAAGTTTCCATTAATACAACCAAGCTAACATGACACATTAAAAATCTAGGATAAGTTTCAAAAACTACTCTCCCACTTTAACTCACGATAAAACATTACCCAACCACATTAAATTTGTTAGTATTAACCAAAAAAGTTGGATCTAAATGTAATAGTGTATAATTGTTTAAAATACAATATTTTATGATCTCAATAAGATAATGTATAGATGATATTCGTAAGTAGACTGAACAGCATAGATGTAATTTGCAATTTATCCTTCATAATTTTACATTTCCTATGAATTCAATCGTGTTTATGAATTCAAGCAAAAGAAATATTGTACGAGGATAGGAAATATCATCCAATTGTATTCTTTTAAGTGCATAAGGTTTGTGATCTTTATCTCAATAACTATTGCCTTGGATGAAAATCTGAACAGAATTTGTAACAGAATCGAACATCCAATGAGTTTGTTGAGTAGAGTATTCCTCTCTTTTCACTATTTACCCTTTCATTCAATTCCTTTTTATACTCTTAAGGAGTCCTGTATCGCATCAGCCAGTTACTTTTCTAGTTTTCTTTATAAGAAACAAATTCATTAACAACATGAAAATGAACAAAAGGAAGGGGAAAAGCCTCCTGGTTCTGGCTATACAAATGCTCGCCTACTGGAGACAATAGAGGAAAGAGGAAAAAATTAAAAAGAAAAAGGTTTGSAACTAGTGCTCCGAGTGGAAGCTACAAAAAMCACTTTCAGTCAAGGACAGTCTTTTTTGTTGGATCTTTTTAGTTTTACACTCCCCTAAGAAAATTGATGATGAAGGCTACAAAGAATTTTTGAAGATAAGGATAGAGACTTGGAGAATTTAGCTAGATTGTTGGCTTCTATTGGTGTATCCTTTCTAGATCTTTTTATAACGAGAGTTCCTCTTTGATTTTAGCCAATTGGAGTCCCTGTCTGATAAGCCCCTTCAGCACTTCAGATGGATAGCTTACATCTACTCTTTTTGTAATTTCTTCTCTTGATATTACTAGATTTCTTAAATTATAAATAAAAACAAATAAATATTTTTCTAAAAAACAATTACAAACCTCCTATTCCTCTCTAACCGTGTTTTCCGAAAAGATTACTCATATTGCATTAGGCCAAAGAACYTAGCCCTCTTTTTAAGCTTAAAACCATAGGTCCATATAATCACCTTTGGGCTCTAGGAAAAAATTTATAATGCTCGCCTGGAGAGGGAATTGGAAGTCAAAGATGGTGGGAAGACACCTCATTTGGTCACCGTCACCCCTTTCCYATGTCAACAACTTTAAATATGGAGATATAGATCCATTTTTAAAGTCAAAGGTGTTGAATCTTGAAATTTTGGAATATAGGACACTTTCATGTTCTGCTTTAATCTTCTCTGACTTGTGTATATAGGAACAAACCACTTCCCCAGCAATCTAGGATATAAGTTGCAAACTTGTTCGAAGGACCTTTATGTATGGAGATATAAATCCATTTTTAAAGTCAAAGGTGTTGAATCTTGAAATTTTGGAATATAGGACACTTTCATGCCCTGCTTTAATCTTCTCTGACTTGTGTATATAGGAACAGACAACTTCCCCGTGTTCTTAGTAAGCTAGGATATAAGTTGCAAACTTGTTCGAGGGACCTTTATGTATCTATGTTCTTGATAGAACACCAAAGCATGCACCTATATCGGAAAGGGGAAAAGACATCAAGGAGAGTTGGATAGATGGCTGGAATAAGAGTGTACGCAGTCACAATCACAATGAGTGTCTGTAATAAAAGGGGGGAAAGGCTAGTGAGGAATGAGTAGTTTTTTAAGTCGTCGTCAAGATTGCAGACTCTCGAATTTCCCTTTAATAAAGGAAGGAGTTTCACCTTTCCTCTGTCCTATTCCGTAAGTCTCTTACTACCTGTTTTATTTCCTATATCTCTTACATCTTCATTATCCTTAATGAAGATCTTGTTTCCCATTAAGAGAGAGACAGAGAGAGATAAAACATTCCTTCATGCAATGATATAGTACTGTCATGCTACAATGTAAGTTTATAGAAAACCAGTGAGGATTTAGAATGAAAAGGCTTGTCACACAGTGACTTATATATTAGTAAGACTGTAAGAGTTCTGATTTCCATTTCAGACTTAGGGACAGCATTATGTATTCGTTTTCTTGTATATGAATCGTTGATTGTGATACAAGAGTGAGGACTTAAAGCAAGAAAAATCATTCTGCCMATCGCCTCAATATCGTACAGGAATTCTACTCTATGTATGTTCCAAGGTTATTGCTTCATCGGGGACTCCTCAAGGATAGTTCTTTTTACATATGCACCAGAGGAAGGAGGAAACTGGAAGGGATACCAGCTTTCGAGCAATTAAGAGAAATAAGAATGCATTTTACCAATTAGCCAATAACTATAACTAATGAATGTGATTAAAAAAAAAATTAAAAATTTAAGCGTAAACGTCCAGAAAAATTACGTATCTTCCAGGTTTCGAGATAAAGGATGAAAAAGAAGGCATAGAAAATCCTTGAGCTCGATAAACTGTTAAAAGGCAATAAAATGTAAAGGAAACAACACTCCATATAAATCTATTAACCACTCACTGACGTTTTCATGATCCATATGCCGGAGAAGCTTGATCTCACGAAGAGTTCTCTTGGCATCGATCTTGTTGTCGAACGCATTCGCAATCTTCTTGATCGCAACGTGCTCGTTTGTCTCGGAGTTCAGAGCGGAACTGATCAATCAAAGCGCAGTCCCAAAATCAAAAACAGCGGCAAAAAATAGAGAGAAGACTCTTGAAGAAAACATAAGGACTAGGGTATGGTACAGACCAGACGATGCCGTAAGCGCCTTTGCCAATAGGCATGATGGGAGGCTTGTACTTGGCCGTAACTTCGAAGATGTTGCCAAAGATGTTGTACTGAATGAATCTCCCTCCGTGGCTTAAAGTCGCCGGAATATTTTCCATCCCCATCGGCGGCGGCTGGTGCTGGTGCGCCGCGGGGTCGTGCTGCTGCGGCGGAACAGACGCCGCCTCCGACATGACGGTGTCGTCCGGCTGAGCAGCTCCTCCGTCGTCCATTAAAATTGGGCT